GGGGGGGGGAGGAGTTAGTACTTGCGCTACGCGCTCTACACGTACTCAGGCAGACTAAACGACTTCCTCGTGATTTGCCCATTGTACTATTTATTTGTGATATGTAACTTCATTTCGTGGCGAAGGCTATGAATTGAAATCTCTGCGTATCCTCTGGTTAAAATGAATTTTAACATTTTGAATTTTAATCTAAATTAGGTTTTCCGTGTGCCAGTTATCCATGCTTGAATGGTGGAAATTGTTCAGATAATGCAACATCATTCTCTTGCTCGTGCCCGTATCGATATTCTGGTTACCGCTGCCAAATTGATGGTAAATATTATTTTCAAGAACATACTAGATGTATTTTTTCTCTTTCACATTTTTATTCCAGAAAGAATTTTGTGGAATTAAGGTTTATTTCAGCACTAACAGCGCAAGCTCTTTTTAAATTAAAAATATCCTTTAGAGTTACTGAAGGAATGCTGGTGAAAATATATTTGCGCTTGAGTCTATACTGACCAATCTAGTACCCAGTGCTCTTTGCAGTTGGATGGTGGATCAGCAAAGAAAGCCGTGTGTTCGGTTGGTCACGTGATACCCTGAAATTTGGGTTTTAGCTTTCATTGTTTAGCCGCCGTCAGCTAAAATACTACAACATTTGCCCCAGTTCGGCTGTGATTCGCAGTTAAAAAAAACCTTGAAAAAGTGGCTTTCGTGTAAAAATGGAATTTCAAAACACATTAGTTATATTAATATGGCCACCACACAGCCTTTCATTTAAACATGGTGTTTTTCGAATTGTTTGTTTTATTCTGTCGCCGTCACTTGACTGCTTTAAGCTGATTGGTGAACTTTAAATCCCATTGTCTTTCCATCAATCAGGTCAGTTTGTTACACATTCTTGCACTGCTATTCGGGATTAACTGCACTGAAATCACAGTCGATTTATATTTTTTTATGTTTTTGCCTTCCTGCTTTTCACAAGATGTTGCAATTAACGAGCTCAGTTTACTGGCAAAACAAAACACTCGACTTGGGATAATTTATTGCTGCGGAACGAGCGAGCCTGAAGCGAGCGAGCGTAGCAGCAGCCTAATATGTGCAGAGAGGAGGTTTTGAACTAAATTTTATTTAGCGCATGGAATTGTGGTCGTGCGCGCTTTCTATGCGCAGAACACAAATTTTAAACTCGCTTGAATGTTCGAATTTTTATCGAATTTCTAAAGCTTTTTCAAGTCTAATGTTACGCTTGCATTTGTTGTGGACTTTGGTCACTGTCAGCTCTATATTTTTATAAAGTTTTGGTTTCTTAGTGTGATAAATCTGTATATAGTCTATATAATGTGGTAAATGTGCCAAGCAGTAAACAGACTTGATTTGAAATCTGATCTTAATTTACCTATATGTCAATGAGACGCACATGTTTAATATCTGTCACCTCTGATTGCCCTTTAACCCCTGGTCTTTGCTACTTCAATATATATTGCTTCTTCTCAGTTTCATTCACAGCTCACTAGTCGCAGCGAGTAATCACTGTGCTTGATATAATTTGTGCTGTTTACTGTAGTTCTATTTGCTTTTAATGCCCGCAGCAATCCCTACCTTGCAGGTACCCTAGTTTATGTATATTATTGTATGATAAATATTACATTGCCAAACCTATGGATGGACACTATATTATATCCTTTCAAATTTCTCAATGGAACTTTCAAAGCGTCAATATATTTTTGGGCATGCGTTGATAGCACTTTCTTTACTGTATATTAAAGCCATATGTTAATGTATAAATTTTCTATCATCTCTGGCTGTACCTAATCCTAGCCTTGAAATGCAGCTAACAGATGGTCAATAGCTACTGGTGGTGTAGTATAAAGTAGCAGAAAGTGATTATTGATTAAGACTATAAAAGGTCATCTATGGACACCTATAATTATCACTTTAGACTATTAAATAGTCTAAAGTGATAATTATAGGTGTCCATATGGCAAAGCTTAAGATGAGATCAAATAAACTTTTATAATATAAGTGGGATATACCACGTAATTTGATTGGTTAATGTGTGTGCATTATAACATCATGATATACATGTATTGTCTTGGTTTTTCTGTTTTTCTTTTCCCTCCGGTTTCTTGGCAAAAACAATGCGAACAGAGTGCCGTTTAAATCCAAAATTTATTAGAAACTAATAGACCGAAAATGAAATGCAAAAACAGCCAGCAAGATACAGCGGGAGACGAAATGCAAAGAAATTTTCGCAGTTGTTTTTGAGTCTGAATTAAACAAGCCGAAAAAGATTTCAAAAAGTTACAGGAACACAAAAAAAAGTAGGAAAAAGCTACAAAAACAGTAAGCAAATTTCATTAAAACGTACCCTAAATGACATATCTTCGGCGAAACATAGAAAATATAATGATCATTTCTTAAACGACTCCACTGCTCTCGTGCCAAATCCGGCTTGTAAATGCAGTGAAAAAACAGAAAATTCGGCTCCTTATCAGGGTGGGTTATTTTTGTCATTTTCGAACATTTCCCCTCAGTTTGTTAAGTATAATTTCCAAAATTTATGTTTTTTTCTTCAAGGTTGTTGCTATAAAACGATGAGTAAACACATGCGTGTGACGTCACTGATTACATTTAGGAGAATTTCAAAATCGATCTTTCAAATAAAATTGCTTGCTGAGTAATAACGTCTTTTATTATGAAGGAAAATTAGTTAAGGAATAGAAAAACTCGTCTCGTGCGTTTATAGTGCAATAATGCAGTCAGGAAATGTTGGGAGACTACTCGAGAACTCACCAGGTGAAACGGGTGCTTATCCGTGTCGTACCCGGGTCTTCAAGGCAATATTTTGACCAGGGGTACAGGTATATGCAAAGCAAAAATACCTCTTGGACTGGAAACTATAAATGGTTTTCTTAATTAGCAATAATACAACTTTTTTTACTTTTAACAGAATGCCCACCAGAATCTGACACAGAGATAACAATATTTATCTCACTGAAATATCAGGTGACAATTCAAATTAGCGATACTGTCACATTTACAGTTCGTATAAAAATTGTTGAAATATTCGTGGTCGATCTGCAGAACAAGCTGAGTGCGGCTTTCAGAAATCTGAGAAGTATATTCCTCGAATTGTTTATTCGAATATTTCGAATCTTGCGCAGTTTTCTTGGCATCTTCTTTAATTCATTTTCCGCGGGAGGTGTTGACTGTGTTGTTGCATATATTGAAATATTATTTAATTCCACCGAACCAATTCCGACTGTTGACGAAGTTCAATCACGAATTGTTGAAGCAAGAGATAATGGATCTGCTCCGTTCAATATTTCAAGTTTACAAGTTGCGAAAAAAGGTGAGTCACAAGGTGGAAATATAACATACATAAGTAGAAATATAAAGCCTAATTTCTTTTAAATACTAATGAACTGTCATATCAACGAAAGAAGACCAACTATTGTCAGTGATCAAAGTTTAAGTTTAAATCCTTCTCAATATAAATAACATGGGAACAGCTAATGGGAGGATTAGCACAGGAAGAGTTATATCTGAGAGTTAAGATTTTAGACTGTTAAGTTTGAGCCGTGCCACCTTTCCGAACGACCGCACCCAATTTCTTAACTTTTCCGATGTTTTCTTTCAACTAACACGAGAGGGTTAAATTTGGCGTAAGTTTCTTCAGTGAAAACTTAAACAATTAGTTAAAAACATAGTTAATATACTTATAACTCTCTGTTGTTATGGTTTTGAAGATTTGTAATCCAGGGATATTATAATTTGTGAAAGTTCTTCGGATAAATAATAACCAGCACAACTGTAGTTGAATAACAATTGGTTTACGTAGCTGTCTATATTTTAATGATTCGAACCACATCTCTCACCCCTTGGCCTTGCGAACTTTTCACGCCCTAGTCTAGGTATATGGCGCCAAGATAAGAATATTAACAACTTTAATAAGCATAATGAATATTAATTAACAGCTTTAATGAACATTTCTTGAGCATTGGAAGGCTAACTCATGAATCCTAACCAAACTGTCATATCAACCAAAGAAGGCCAACTGTTGTCAGTGATGGACTTGTCAACCCACTAGCTCTCCTTGTTCGCGGATGTAAATACCCGAGTGGAGTTAGTAGCTGCGCAACGCGCTCTACATGTACTCGGGCAGACTAAACGGCTTCCGCGTGATTGGCCCTTTGTACTATTTATTTGTGATATGTAACTTAATTTTCTGGCGGAGACTACGAAATCTTTGCGTACCCTCTGGTTAAAATGAATTTTAACATTTTGAATGATTTTAATCTAAATTAGGTTTTCCATGTGCCAGTTATCCATGCATGAACGGTGGGAATTGTTCAGAAAATGGAACATTATTCTCTTGCCTATGCCCGGAAGGATATACTGGTCAGCTCTGCGAAATGCCAAGTAAGTGCATGCTTTCTCAAAAACGTGCTGGATGTATTTTTTGCTCGTCCATTTATATTCCGAAAAGAATTTTGTGAAATTGAGTTTCATTTAAGGAGGCTCCTTACAGTTTCCAATATATATCAGTGTTTTAAATTAAGAGCGATTTGAATAAAAAAAAAACAATTTTTTGCACAAGCCATTGTTTCCTCTGATATAAAAAAAGTAATTTTACCCCACAATCGCTACTCTTCATGTTACCATAACAACATGACGTCACCATCTATATGGCCTATATCAACCAAAAAAGCCGCCTTAGCGGACAAATAAACACGGTGACCTACCTTTTTTATTGCAGAAAATACATTGTTATGAAGTTTTGAATCTTTTTCGAAAGTTATTTGAAAATTGCCAGTGTAGTTTTCGAGAAACTGAATTTCAGCCTTTCCAAAGGTTAAAATGCAATCTAAAAGGCTGAAATTCAGTTTCTCGAAAACTACACTGGCGATTTTCAAATAACTTTCAAAAAAGATTCAAAACTTCATAACAATGTATTTTCTGCAATAAAAAAGGTAGGTCATCGTGCTTATTTGTCCGCTAAGGCTGCTTTTTTGGTCAGTTGATATAGATGGCGACGTCATGTTGTCATGGTAACGTGAAGAGTAGCGATTGTAGGTTAAAATTACTCTTTTATACAAAAGGAAACAATGGCTTGTGCAAAAAATTAGGTTTTTTAGATTCAAATAGCTTTTAGTTTAAAACACTGACATATATTGGAAACTGTAGGGATCAGCCTTAATAACTAAGAGTCCAAGATGATTTTAAATTTAAAATACGCTCAATATTCGGTGATAGTGGTTGAGAAATTTTCAATGCTGGAGCAACGTTGGAAAAAATAGATTTGCGTTAAAGCACAAAATGTACTGATACAAATATTGGACGGTCTAATGAGCCAATTAGACCGTCCAATATGAGCCATGCAATTACTGCGGGCCCGAGTTAAGTTCGTCTTCCTTTGCTGGGCATTGTAGACAGCTTCCGTAATTACCCCATTGTGTTATTTATGCGTGATATATAACCTAATTCACAGCCGGAGGCTATGAATTGAATTTTTTAAGTCCCTTCTTGTTTGGATGGACCTGAACATTTTTAATTTTAATCCATTTTAGTTCCTCCATGTGCCAGTAACCCATGTATGAATGGTGGAAATTGTTCAGAAAATGGAACATCATTCTCTTGCCAATGCCCGGATGGGTATACTGGTCAGCTCTGCGAAATGCAAAGTAAGTTTTTTTTTGAAAAACGTACTAAATCTATTTTTTACATTGGCATTTATATTCCGGAAATAATTTTGTTGTATTGAGATTTATTTGGTAAATAAAAGTCCAAGATGTTTCTAAATTTAAAATACACTCGAAAATTCGGCGATAGTGATTGAGAAATTTTCAATGCTGGAGCAAGGTTGGAAAAAATAGATTTGCGGTTGAGTGTCCTGATCTACTCGCTTTCCATTGTTTTTGCTGACGTATATGGATGACCAGCAAAAAATGCTGCCTTTGACTGGTTGATGTGACGTTCTGAAATTCTGTGTTTAGTATGATAATTTTAATGATTTCCTTCAATATATTTCCTCAAATCCTCTGTAACGAGATAAGGAGGTATCTACTGTTCCCCGCTCCTCCCATCGAACGCTTTTAGCATTTCACGCTTGTGTTTTTCTATCCCAACTCATTCCACACCTGGCCTTCGGAATATTGTGTTGAGCAGTGAAAGGTTAACGCATGAA